GGCTCTAGTACTGGTGCAGGATGTGCCAGGTGAGGAAGGACTCCTTTCACACTCACTCAGAGACTGTCCAGTGCAGAAAGTGTCAGAACTAGTGAGGAATGTCTGTCTGAGTGTAAACACATCTTTTGCAATCTTCCAGCTACGCTGGCAGGCTGCAGTGGTTTTGTTAGATGCATTAGGCAGCTTTCCTGATTTCACTATGGATGAAAACAGATATTTGTTACTATCTAAAATTCTCAGTCTTGGCACTTAGAGCTCGATTTCGTATTGCCGTTGTTGGCTGCCAGACTACACCAGTGGTTGTATATCTGTGTTACAGTGAGCTCTTAAAGCCCAGTCAACCTCTGCACTGCATAAAGAAGGCAAGCATCTATGCCCTGAAAACCTTGAAATTTATAGAGATGGGATTAGCTGTGGGCTGGAATTAGCTCTCAGGAAAATAATAGGATGAAGGCAGCTATTTTAAGGAATTTTTAAAATGGCCTGTATTAATGCAGCAGTCAGTTATGAGAGATAAGGAGCAAACTGTAAGATGTTCACTTGAAAGAAAATCTGTTCAGGCCAGTGCTCATAGCCTACCAAAGGCTATGTATCAGGGATGTTCAGTGATTTATATCACACATCTGCCAAAGATGCTCCATTAGCAGCCAGGGAGGAGTTTCATAGACTAAGAATAAAGGGTGGTTAATGCATAAGCTTTGGCAGGGGAGTGGTGTGAACCACAGAGAATCAAGGAATGTGGAAACGGGGATAAAAATGAAATTTGCAGTGTTTTCCCAATACTTCGTATTTCCTGTGCTAACATATATGGTGGACAGATACCCTAGGCCTGTGACTTGAAGGCTGTAAGTAAAGGAACTGTGGGCAGGTTAAACTACTTCAGATGGTACCCCTACGTTCAGGTACGACGTGGCAGTGCCTTTTTGCAAACCAGTGTGAGTTCAGCTCAGTTCTGTGCACTGGCAGGTACCCGCCAATGTGGGGGTAAATCAATAGAACAGTTTTATCTCTTTTCGTTTTCATGTCAGCTAACTGACACTTACCTTTGTTTTTCTATTTACCTTTCAGCCATTACAGAAGCAATTGAAATTCCACAGTTTATTGGTCGCAGTTACCTCACATATGATAATCCAGATATACTGAAAAGGTAATGTATCTCCTGTGAACATAAATATTATGTTTGTTAACCATTATAATGCTAGGAGCCTCATGGAAGGATGTTGTGTATTAAAGTGTTTTAAGATGTATTTGCCATATTTTTAAATGTCAGGGAAAAAATACATTTTTCGTGCAATTTTTTATAATACCTGAGCATCTTGCAACTTCTAGAGAAATGGCCTGCACAGTGTATGACTGGCGTGGAGAAGGACGGGTGTGCACTTTCCAAGAACAAAGAACAGACAGACAGAGCCTGTATCTGTAAAGAGACTAAGAACTGTAGCTTCCGCTGTAGCCTAAAATTTAGGTCTTTTTGGCTGCTTTGCACCCTGGAAGGTGCCCAAATTCCAGCAAATTGTGGATTGTTCCAGCAAATTCCTCCATCTCCCTGTATTTCAACCCCTGGCTAAAGAAAACTTCACAAATGTTGTCACTTAAACCTACCAGAACTTCGTGATTTTCCTTTGTTATGCTTCTTCCGTTGGCTTCTGAGGGCATCAGATCTACTGGACGTTCTCAAAATTTGCTTGTGAGACTACATTTCACCCTAGGCTTACAGAGAAAAAGGATTTTCTCTTATTTGCATGGAATAAGTGAGTAGGTATTGTGTTTGGGGTTCTGGAGGGACAAGATCAATTCTCGTATTCAGAAATGCTGCAAATGGGGATGTGAACCAGCGTCCATCACACATCAGCATGTAGGCAAGCTGCAAGACAGTAACTCACAAGACAGACAGAGAAGAAATACTGCATCACCTTCTATGTTTTTTTTGAAAGAAGACTGTCCCAGTTCAATATTTTACTATTATTTCTTTCTTCTACATTAAACAGGGTATCGGGCTCAAGAACAAATGTGTTCATGAGGTTTAAAACCACAATGAAGGAAGGTCTTCTGTTGTGGAGGGGAGACAGTCCCATGCGACGGAACAGTGATTTCATTTCTCTAGGCCTTCAAGAAGGAGCATTAATATTCAGGTAACTTTCTCTCCCTTCTGTCTTGCATGCATTACACTCAGGGCTCAAAGCAATTGCCACAACACATCCAGTGCACTTGTTCTTTGGTATAGTGTGTGACAATTACATCCTCAAAGTTTTATTCAGTGATGGGTCGAGTTATTGTCTGGGACAGGATGTGAGTTGAAGAGGTAACGTCCTTCAAGCTTTGCATCATTCCACTCTCTTCCTCCTTCCCTTCCGATTTTTTAAAACATCTGCTTTCTAATGGGATTTTCTAAAAGTCACCTTTTGAGGATACACGTCAGCAGCTGCTCCTGTGCCTCTTGAAGCACTTGCGATCTCAGTTACTATGTGGAATGGGTGTAGGGTTTGCATAGAGAGCAGGGGTCAAGGGAAAACCCAGCTGATGTCCGTGCTTGCTCTGGGCTCACTCCGCTGTGGAGAGCACACACAGGAGCAGGGCTCCCACCTCCCCAAATGCCCAAATATCCAACCCTGTGACACAAACCCTGCTGTCACCAGGCTTTGTTACTGCCACTGTCCACAGAACCACTCATTTAAGAAACAGTATTACTGTCAAATAATGGAATTAGGAGGTGCTTGGAAGTAGTGGGTTGAACGTGCTTTCTCTATCCAGAACCATTTTCTCCCTTGCAGACACTTAGGCAAACTCTGTAGAACTTTTTACATGGTGCTTTTTTGGGACTTCTGCCTTTTGAAAGCATTAACTTCCCTCTTGATCCCCTTTTAGGTTGTGTAAGACAAATACTGAAACAGCAAACTACAAATATCAGCATTATTATGGATTGTTGTGAGACACTGATTAAATCAAAGATTTAATCATTTAAGCTAATCATTTAAGCTAATTTGAAGCTGTATTTTACTTTACTTACTTGGTTGGTTTTTGCTACCATGAATGCATAGACAAGTTGCACATTTTTATTTAAATTAATTTCCTTTGAGCTTTTTTTCATATGATTTTTTTGTGGCTAACTTTGCAAAACCTCTTTGTTTATTCATTGTTTTATAAACAAGGAACTGACTCTACAGAAATGGTGCATTTTTTAAATGTCTTTGGGAAAGCCTGTCTTTTCAAGATGCATGGTTGTAAGTCGCCGCTCTGTTCTCTCTATTTGTTAGGCACAGTGCATTTTTATTAGGGTTGTTGCTATCCCTCAAAGGTGAAAATACACAAAGGTTTTACACTGAAAAAGCTGAATTTTATTAAAATAGCTGCACCTTTTACACACATTTAGGAAGGTGAAAAAATAAGGTACCAAGTGAAAACTCTCATAAACAATCACTGCATGCTGAAAGGGACCACTGAAGAAGATGATGAAAGGACAAGTGCAGAAAAAAAGTGTCATTTTCTTTCAGAAAGAGCAGTCCTTATGCTACTTTTCCACCTTTCAAGGGGTAAGGCTAGGAGAATATCAGGGCATGCAATTAGGGAGAAGTGTCTTCCTGCAGCCCAAAATCAGAAACCCATATTCTGGTCCAGTTTGAAATTGAAAGCGTACCTTTTCTTTTCTTTCCTTTCCTTTTTTTCTACGGCCTACCAGAGTACGTTCCCTGTACTGTGTAACTGCTGCTGGAAATAATTTCTGTTGATCTCTGCTTCTGCAGAAGGCTGTATCACTATTGTAAGGGATTCCCATTCATTAGAGTTATGAATCTCATTTATTTAACCAAAGATCTGACACTTTAATACAATCCTGAACACCCAAATCCTTCTGTAGTTCACAATCTAGACTGGTATTTGCATCCTGGGTAAAAGGAGGTGCTTGTCTGAGACTTGCTTAAACCTCTGGTAAGGGGTGAAATTTAAGAAAATCATTTTGCTTGGGGCAGCTCATGACTTAACGTGCTGTTCTCAAGTATCTAACCTTGGTGTATTGGGTTGGCTCAGCCGGATTT